TCCTTAATATCTAAATATTATTACTGATATTAACACTATTTACTGTTACTAATATTGTACATATATTAATATTATGGATATTGATCACTATTACTGATTACTGTTACTATGATTAACACTGAGAATATTGATATTAATATTATTACTGATATTATAACTAGCACTGATACTATTTATTGATATTATGATTGATGATGTCTTGACTGAGATATGATGTGTTATAAATTAAGTAATTAGCACAATTAACCAAAATATATATTGATGTATAGATTTATTTATATGATTTACAACGTATTATTTCTCTTTTTATTTCTTTGAATTTGGTTGTAAGATTTTAATTATTTGTTGGACTTTCATGCTCATGCATGGTTTTACATGATTTTAGGTAAAGGTAAGGAGCCTATCGATTGAAGCTTAGCTATATTAATGTTTTAGTTCTCTTTCAATTCTTTTAGTTTATGTATATTGTTTTTGCAGCCTGTGAAGATTATTGTATATATTGTTTTGGACTCTACCGATAGAATGTAAATATTGTTTATTAATATAGTAAATATGAATTATATTGTTTGTTGTTTGTTGATTTTTTTAATGCAGTTAATCAACTATAAATTTCAAAATGGTCTTAATATTAATTGATCTAGTTATTAAATGAAAGATAAAAAAAATAGAATGAATTGAACATATACAAAAGACAAAAAGAAATTCTTTCACTTTAAATCATGAGGTGTGCACCTCGAACCTCTGTCGTCTGCCTACTACGGTCCATCCTATGACCATTGTGTGCTAATTGTAGTCCCTCCAACCATAGTCACCTGCCTATTATGATACTTCTAACCTTCGTGGCACAGTAACTGCAGTCCCTCCAACCTTCGTCGCACGTCGGCTATGGTCCATCCTACCTCTATCACCCTTTGACTACAATTCCTTTAACCCCCATCGCCAAACTATGATCCTACCAACCAAAAGATCAGCTAACACAATCTTGAGAGAAACTCTCACATCAGTAGATTCTTCCAAATCCCATCATGTAATATGCTCTATATGATGTATATTTGTTAAATCGAGCCAAGGCATTTCCCCCAAGGAAGGGCCTCTTTCGTAATCAACACTAAACACTAGTAAAATAATTTTAACTAGACCAGACCCCATAGTTTTTCCCTTTCAAGATTTTTCACATAAAAATCTTGGTGTATCTTATGACTCTATCACCCTCTCTCTTATCTGTCTGTGTATTGGATCATCATATAAAACTTAGGCGCTAAAATCTATATCTCTCTATTGTCGCAAATGCTCCAAGATGCAACAAATCTAACATGTATTTATTTAGAGATCAGTGTCATACATGAAAATTTTATTTGTACTCATCTAAAAGCATATTCAATAATTTTAAAATCCATCTTGATAACACTTTGTTAGGATATCCGGATGCAAAAGTTTTGCATTATAAATTAGAAAATATTATTTTTGATTGCTTCTACTTGAGTAAGAATTGCTCATTATAAGATTTAAGGTTCAACTTAACTTAAAAAGAATTGTTTATTTTGTGTTCTAATGGATATTCTTTTATAGAGCAAAAAAGAATCAATTTTTGAGGGAATTTGGCAATGATTCTAAAATGTAGGCTTTATTTGGAATAGCTTTTTTACCACTTTGTAACACTATTGTAGATCAAGTAATTTTTTAAAATTATTGTAGAAATCAACTTCCTATTACAAAAAAAAATATAAAAATAAAGATAGCGAAAAAATAGCAACCAAGCAAAAATTATTATTCCAGTCGAAAAAATAAAACAGTAAAAAAATTGTCCTAAATGAGGCCACAATTAGTGCATTACATGATTTTTAATAATATAGAAGACCCTAAATGGATACTCATTGATATAACTGAAAATTATGTTATTCTTGAGATTTTAATGTCATATTACAATGTTTAAGATATTTAGCAATAAATTTTTTTTATGACATTCTAATGCAAAATATATCAATATGATTTAAAAATTTTTAAATTTATTCTAAAATAGGTATTATATATAATATCCTAAATTACATTAATCTTAGCACAAATCTAAAAAAATTGAATCCCACTTTAATACATTTAGCATTAATATATCTTGATATAACGTATTTTATAGCAAGCTCTCACCTAGCCCCGCCCCTCCACCGTCCCCAATCGCCGCCTCCCACTTACTTTATTATCCCCCTCAATTGTCCTCTTCAACCATTCCATCATCTCATCTTAACTTAATTTTTTTTTTCTTATATTTTTTTATCAAATTTGAGACATGCTCTGTTTAGCCCTTAGGCTTAACTTGCTTGGTTGTAATGAAAATTTAGATGTTTTTTTCGCCCATATATTTTTCTATGTTATTATGAAATTAGGTTTGAGATTTATCACTAATAGGCTTAAAATTATTATTACATAATGAATTTATATCATATGAACATATTTTATTAAATTTATATATTAGCTCATATTTTTACACAAGGATATAATCAATTTGTATTTCTCATCACATAACATTAATAAATTAGACACATCAAGTGAAGTTTACTTCAATTACTTATTATCAAAGGAAAAAGTAAAATATAATTAGCTTGCTCAATTATTATTCAATCTTAAATTTACACAACAATATTATTTATACACAAAGTTTGTATTATAATATATTATGAAACAAAGTTGCATAGTAATTCATAAAAGAAACATAATTAATCATTCATATTAACCCCAACAATTTAACATTTAGTGCGAGTGGCATTATTATATACAATTTTCTCACTAAATGAACACCATGTAATAGAAGGGGACACTCCATGTTTTTAGATTATTACTTTTTTTAATGTTGTGTCCTCTCATTGAAGTTTACAGCAACAACTATAAATAAAAGGCATTAGAGGATGCAAAAGGAAGTATGAACCCATTGTTAATCGAATAACAAAAGATGTTGAATGGCTTTTGGTTGTGACCTTGAGTCAAGTCTGGAGTTGAATTCATGATAATTATATAAGATGCATAGATGATATTTGTTATTAGAATATGCATGATATGATATGTGTGTAAAATTAAGAAAGGCTGGCTAAAAATAACTAACTAATGCATGTTGGTTGGAGACATGTTACAGGGTGGGCCAATATACTTTTCTTAAAATAAGATTTGTGGTGTAATCCTAAGTTATTTGAAATGGAGGTATAAAGAGATTGAATGATATGATATGATATGATATGATGATGGGAAAGAACATATGATAATTTACTTGAAAGACACCTAACTTGTGATATGTGATATGAGACATTTTCCTATTTATAGAACTGATATGATTGAGATTAATTTATGTTTAGTCTAAAGGGACTTCATAACTTAATATAGGAAAAACATGATGAGTGCCAGATGTGTCATGCCTTGCTTATAACATTACTTACATACATGTTAGGATTGTATATTAAGATACCTGAGTCTGACATGATAATTCTATAAATAATATAGTATGATATGAACCTGATATAGAACATGATTGATACATGAAAATGATAAGAATACTAATAATGATACTACAACATATGATACATATGAAATGCAAGATATACATATTACATTGAAAGTTTAATTTATGATTGCTGGACCACTTAAACGACAACAATATACTGAGAGGGTAGGGGGTGAATTGGTGTTTAAAAAATTTTCATTTTCAAAAACTATTCTTTGAAAAACTTAACCAAATTCATAACTATAATTTTAAAATTGATTTCTTCAAGTAGAAGCAAATATCAATAAAGATCAAATGCTTTTTTTATTTTGTGGAAAAATAAATAACATAATATTTTTTTTTTAAATTCATTTCTTTTCTAACAAAACTTTAATCCACAAATACTCACATAGTCTTTGACTTGGATTTGCAAAAAGGTAAACATGTA